AATCCCTACGTGCATCCAGTGGGAAATAAATAGGAGAACTTCATGAAAAGAATGAGATAAACATTTACTGCTGGTGGCAGTTACTGCAGTTCTGTCTCTCCCCTTCCTAAGGAAACAGTTCCCTTGCACTAAGTCACGAGCAACGAACAAGTCAAAGCCTCCCCTTGATGTTTGTTGGGTGTCAGACCGGGATCTTCTCATGGGTCTTCAGTGTCTGGTTTGCCCAGAGAAACCTCACGAGGAATCATCAGGGTTAATCATGGGAAGCTGAGGACCCTCCTGCCGAAGTTCTCCCTGGGGGCTGGTTTCTAATAGGCATAAGGTGTGAGGAGGACACTGATACTCCAAGTCCTTACAACACGGAAGGGCCAATTGCCCTAAATAGGACTTTTCTTGGGAACCTTTTCCAAAACCTCTGCAAAACAAGCCTGACAGAAAGACTTCCTTGTTCTAAAGTCATTTCACATGATCAGTTTAAAGTCACAGACCCAAAGGACTTGAAGATTTAAAATGCAAAGAGACTATGCAACCACAAACGTTCAGATCAGACACCGTCCTTTCTGCCTCCTGATGTGGGGCTGTGTTGCAGATTCATCTGAGGGTCTCTGAGCAGGTAGGAGCCCAGCTCTCACCCAGCACATGCACTGTTTTGGAAAAGGTGAGCCTGGGTGCTGTTCATGGGACCATTTGTGCCTTTACAAGCAAAAGACCGGCAGCACCAGCAACTGCCAGCTCCTCTAAACTTCCCCTATAAGGAGCATCCAAGATTGAAGTCAGCCTGGGAGACAAAAATATGGTGCCATATATGTATGCTGAGATGCTTTTTAAACAGGTTGGGCCATTCCAGGGACTTCAGTAAAATTTAGGTCCTAATTCCTCCCCTATCTGGATGACAACAGATTTGAGATTCCACCTGGCAGGACAGCCTCACACATGCAGATACGTCCAAATTTCAGTAGCCAAGATAACCCTGTCAGTGAAAATTTAGGGATCCAGTGAGCTTTGTAGCCCTTATAACTCACCCTCAGACTTGAGTATCTGTGTTACACCTCTGTCCCATTTTAGACCTCAGACTAACCTCTGAACCTGAACAAATGCCCTCCAGGAAAGCACTGAGGGAACAAGCTGTCATTCCCATATGCCACAAGTCTTCTTGGAGACCAATAAAAGCCCAAGAATCCCAACAGTCTGCTTGACATGTTAGCCATGAGACTTTTGTTGGCCCGGGGCAAACTAAGAGGACTAGGACTGACTACAGCTCAATAACTGACCTATCTCTGTTAGAGGGAGGAAGACCTAACAACAGATGTACGACTGCAGCGAGCAGAAACTCAAAAGCACTTACGGCAGTCAAAACCTCCCATGCAAGCCCCAGCAGCCTCCTGGAGATGCTGAGCTCGGACAAGCAGCAGGAGCCCAGAGGCACAGATATATTTCTGTAACACAAGAGCAAGGGATGAAAACCTCTGATTTAAGAGAAACAGAAAACAACCCAGGACCCAGGCACTGGACAAAGGCAGTTAAGCCTTTAAGCTACCGCAGAGGACCGATGTAAATGGATCTACGCTCCCAGCCAGTTTTAAGTTAAAGGGCATTTGTAGGCTGCGTGTGCAACTGCTTAATCCTGCACGGTGACTCCAAAAAAAGCAAAAACACCATCAGAAAAGGTGTCAGCAGGCAGGGAAGAAAGCAGAGAGCCACAGGAGAACAGGTTGCCAAGCTACCCTTTGAGCCATGATGCCAGCAAACCAATGCTAGTAAAAAAACAGTCTCGTATAGCCACTACAGATTGCAAGATCAGGGACATCCCCATGCTACTGCTGCTGTAGAGAAACAGAGAGAGAGAGAAACACATGAGGTGATACACAAGTGCCTGAACACCTTCCCTCTATAGTAGTCCATGAAATATAAAGCAGATGCAAACTGGAAGGACCCATTCATCTGCTCTCCACACTTTAATTTAGCTCATACACAATCCAGCATTAGAGAAAGCTTTGAACAGTATCAACACAAAGTTGCAAAAATACTGTAATAGTCAGCTAAAATAATGCTAGAACCATATTTTTGAAGAAAAACCTCAACTGTGGTTAGTTATGCCAAGCATATTATTTCCTTAAAAATAAGAGTGAAGTCCAAGCACAATATGGCTACTGGAAAGAATTTGTCATGTAAGAGCCACTGCAGACATTAATTCCTCAGCCACAAGCAAACCCATCCCGAAATCAATTAGTAAAGCAATTTCTAGAGTTCAAACCATCCATAAAAAATAGGGTATAAACAGCTTTATGAAGTCCCTAGCTAATCAAAAGATATGAGTAACTATAGCCAGTACTAATAATTCTTGAAAACAGCCAAGACAAATAAGTGTCTCCTGGAAGGGAGCAGTAGACAACAAAAGCACTAACTGAAGTTATCAGTGGTAGCCCCAACAGCCTGCTGTCTATCAAGCTCTACAGAAAATATTCATTAAGAAAAGAAAATGTACAGGTTTCAATGGGACTAATAATTTTTAGCCAGTTCCGAGAGATCTAACATAAAACAAATATACCCATAAAAGAAAAGAAAAGCCTAAAAACAAAAGCCTCTTCTACAGCTAGAGCGGTCACTCCACCCAGCTCACCTCCACAGAAAATGAAATAAATATTCCTGTACAAATCAATGCCTGGCCTAGCAGCTGCATATATAAAAACAACCTCCTGAAAACTTGCCTTCAAAATCTGAGCAGCGGTAGCAAATGGGAGCAGACTAAACGAAACTAAGGAATTAGTTTTTTTTTTTTTAGCAGGATACCTCCCCAGTGAACAGAGACCATCTAGTCTCTTATCCGAGGAGTCCAAGGTAAAAACACTATGTGCACTATGTGGTTCTAAGAAAAATGCTTACTTTATTGCTCCAAATGTCATTTTTCTTACTCTTCTATTGGCTCCTCATCCCCTAAAAAAAAATCCAAACCAACTTTGCTCTTTGAGAGGACATTCCCAGCTCTTCTCACACAGACGTAGGTGCTTCTGTCGATAAGACTGGTCACAGAACCTCTTACAGAACAAGGAGAGGCAAGTGCTTTAGATGTCCAGGCCTGGGTATCGATGACTCCAGAATGACTTACCTGTTAATTACTCTTCATGAACAATTAGCAAAGGTGTGGTGAGGGCACGTAGAGGGGAAGGATGTGCCTTCTGAGTGGACATTAGTCGTAGCAGAGGTCAGACCCATGCTGCCATCCACACTGGAGCATCCCAGTTGCTGGAGCATGATGTTTACCACCTGATTCCTCCATCTAAGTAACTTTTTTGCGACCCAACAACCCTCTCAGGTACTACTGGGATCCAAAGCAGACAGAAACAACAGTACAGAGGGAGACCACTATAGGAGATGGTGACGCTTCTCAGACCAGGGAGGGCACCCAAAAGCTGTAGGGCTGGAAAACCTCCTGCTACGCTTTTAAACAGCGATGGGGAGAAGTGGCTGCAGGGCTGTAAGGGGAGCGAGAGCCAGGCAAAGCGCAATGGGTTAAAGTCTGCTGCCGCTGAGCTGGTTTCTGTGTTGGTCTCCGCTCTTAAGCTGCCAGAGCGGCTCTGCAGCAGAGCCTGGGCCCGTCCCTGACGGCTCTGTTCAACCTTGCTGAGAGCTTAAAGTAAGTATTGTCTTTTTTTCAGCCCCGCTGCAACGTCAACGCCTTTTCTTCCCATACCTGCAACCACAGATGGGTGCAAACGGGAGTGTGAAGCTGTCAGACAGGGAGGGCGAATGCCCCCCTCCCAGCCCCTGGGCAGCGGGTGCGTGGGGCCAGGCAGCAGCCTGGCAGCCACCAGCAAATATCGGGAAGGGCTTTATGCTCCTGAGGGGCACCTCAGCAACATGGGGCCTCACCACAAGCTGAAAAACCCCAATCTTGACAACGTGTCCAAATAAGATAAGTACCTAAAATTCCCAGCTGTTGGGAAGTTGCTGTGTGCTTTGCCCACGGCAGATATCTCCAGTCTGTAACGGCAGACATACTCCCCCACACTGCAGGCTGACTCGTTTTTTGGAGATCGCCTTTGCCAGGGTTACAGAACTATCCCCACTCCGAGGTGAGACCTGTTTGCCAAACACTGTCCCGTCGCTCCCCCTTCAACAGAAGGGTCAGTTTTGATTTGGAAGATGGAAGGAGTCCAAACAGGAAACACACTCTTGATTGCAGCTGATCTTACAGCTCCCAGGGGGTCTTTTAGAAACTCCTGCAGCTGTCGCCACAGCTGGAATTCACACATCCCACTGGCGGGATGAGAAGACCGGGGATAGCTCTCTGGGAAGCAAAGGTTTCTTCCACCACATTTTCCCTGGGAATGAGTTTGGGCACCTCCGCTTACAGCTCAGCGGCTCCCGAGTGCGCTCAATTACCTCGGTGCATTTAGTAGCTTACGCCGTTGTGGAGCTGCATCCCCACATCCTCCTCCAGGGACAGCCCTTTGCATAGCAAGTTGAGGCAGACCCAAAGTCACGCTCCCAAAACGTGCAGCTTCACCCAGCACGGCAGGGATGAAGCACCAAGTACATGCGGAACTCTTCCAAAAACATGCAGCTACCTCTCCCCCCGAAAACGCACAGGGGTGCAGGCTGCGCAGCGCATCTCAGCGGCTGCAAATCCAATTGTGTTGTGCCTTGAATTGCAAAAGGCAAAGACAGAGAGACAGAGACGTCCTTGACTTGTGCAGCTAGGACAATCTGGAGTCTTTTTTTCCCCCTTCACCCCAGGGCACCCCAGCCTGTACCTGACCCCACTTCAGTGCACTTCC